AAGGAAGGAAGGAAGGAAGGAAAGAAAGAAAGAAAGAGAAAGAGAGCAGGGCCCAGCTACTGGCCTGCTTTGGTGGGGCACAACAAGAACCAGCCGCTAGCCCAGCAGACAGACTGGTGCCAGGCGAGGCTGCTGGACGAGGTCGGTAGAACTAGATCCAGTGAGCAGTGAATGTCCAGAATTTTCACATTGACTAACTCTGTATGCTGATACCTGAGATCTAAACAACAATATCTAAGCAACGTGTCATACAGAAACCATGGTTGAGCCCCTCTCATCTTGGTCTTCTAAATGTGTACTGCTCCTAATGTCTTATCAATTATTATTATGCTCTCTTTAAAATAAATTTTTAAAAAAGTAAAAATCACAAGAAAAAAATGGTTTATTAAGAGCAAGCATTAATAGGCAATTATTTGTCCAATCTTGCAAAGCTATGTCTGCTAATCTGAGCAACAGATTTGATGATAGAAATAGGTAATATAGCAGGCATTGTTAATTTTGCTATTTTTGTTTTGAAAATCTGTAACATAGTTATTGTTGTACACTACCCTGCATTCTGTCTTTGTTTCGGCTATTTGCTTTTGCTATTGTTTTCACTCTTCAAAATAAAATGTAAAAAAAGAAGAGAAGAAGAATTAGGGTGAGAGGTAGAGGGAAGGGAGAGGGAAGCGAGCACAAGCAGACTGTGCAGTACGCACTGCAGCCAGCTCAGTGTGAAGGCCACAGGAGAGGGAGGGACGAGGGTGATGGGCAGTGACACTGATCAGCATACACCCAGGGGATGTGCTACTCTGCCAAATCAAACCCCTAAATCTGTACTACCAATAAAAAGATGGGAGAAGATGAAGAAATTAGCTTTTCTGCGGGCAACGAGGTCACAGTCCTGTTGTGTGTGGTTTTCAGCAAGCTGGTAACACAGTTTAGACTAAAAACAACGGCCTTAGAAAAGATGGGATTGGGGCCAGGGAGATGGCTCAGTAGAATAAGCACTTTCCTGGTAAGCTCAGGGACCTGAGTTCAACTCCTGGTTCTGCCAAAAAAAAAAAGATGGGATTTTAGATGGTTCACCTTCTTTAGTAAACTGCACAGGGATGTTTGAGATATTTCAACAGAAATAGCTCAGCATTGGTTCAAAGAATAATGGTAAAAATCCATGCCAAATTGCATTGTTTTTTGTGCTTTTCTGTAAATTAAGAGACTGAGGAGTTCCTTGAGAGAACTGTGTCACTGGGGAGGGAAAACCTGGAGCAATGAAGACACTGAGTCTGGGCTTCCAAGACAGAGAGTGGCCCAGGGTCTCCACTCACGCCATCAAATAAATTCACACTCACAATGGCCGCCACGAGTGCTTGAGCCCAGGCTGAGTCCAGGCCCAGAGGGAAGTCGCCTGAGAATTTCTGAATACTGACATAGGATGCCCAGGCTTAGAGTGCTTCATTAGAGTTGGATGCGGCTTAATCAGTGCAATTGTTAATAATACCAGCACTTGGAAGGTCGAGGCAGAAGGACCACAAATTGGAGCCCAGTGTGGGCAACTTGAGAAGTTTTTGTTTTTGGCAGAACCGGGAACTGAACTCAGGCCCTTGTGCTTGCCAGGCAAGCGCTTATTCTACTGAGCTATCTCCGCAGCCCTTGAGAAGTTTGTAAGACCCTGTCTGAGAGAAAAAGACAGAGACAGAGAGACAGACAAACAACTCAGAGAGATAAAGTATGAGAGAGAGACAGAGAGAGACAGAGACAGAGAGAGAGACAGAGAGACAGACAGAGAGGCACAGAAGGGGAAAAAGGAGGAAGGAAGGCCGGAGGTGAGGGAATAAATCTGTGCTAGGATCCTGGGTTCAATCCCAGTACTCTGGAGTGGAGTGTGGGACACTTCCTTAAGAGATTCTGCTGTGCAGTGAGGGTTCAGCTGTGCTGATCTACTGCAGGTCGCTTGTTTGTCTCCCGGGGAAATCAAGGCCTACCCAGGCAGACTGGCTTCTCGAAGCTGGTCAGCTTTTAATCTTTTTTTAACAGATTGTCTTGGGTTCCTGCAAAAGGACTCACAACTTAGTGGTGGCCTTTTATTTCCTAAAAGTTTTACTCTCCTCAGTTCCTTTTTCTATTTTTTTCAGCTCATGTGTGTACACAGACACACACACACACACTCCCTTTGCTGTTTCCTCTTCCTCAGTGTTGCTCTGCACTGTCTCTCCCGGGTCTGCTTGTTGCATAAACCCAAAGACAGCTGGTGACTGATGGACCTGAACGAAGCCAAAACCTGCAAAACAGGACCAGGGCCAGTGCGTGACAAGACAAACCCTTTAGTTCCTACTCTGGGTGCGTTCCAGGGCTTTGCTAAATAGAAAAGCTATTTTTTTATTTTCCTTTGAGTTCATGACAATTCTAAAGACATTGCATGGAAATAAGAGTGATTTCCTAATTTACTTATATTTCGCACTTTTTTGTACGCTGGAACTTATTTTATGCCAACTTAATGAGACCGGCCTTCTTCCTTCGGGAAGTTTCAATTGTGCACAGTTTCTGGCTCAGGTGGACTCTCTGTGGGAGTTCATGAAAGGACAGGACAGAGATGGAAGGAGCTGGGCAGCAGGATGAGAGCAGACAGGTTGCAGGTCAGGCAGACGCTCAGGAAGGTCTCTGAGGAAAGCAGTCTGGCAAGTATTCTACTTGAGTTGATATTATAAAAGACCCAGCAGGTAACTTTATTTATTTATTATTTTTATTTATTTGTGCTGGTACTCAAATTCAGGACCCTGCACTTGCCAGGCAGGCACTTGTGCCACCCAGCTGCACTTTGCTGATTCCTGATTTTCATCTGAGCCAATGAAAGAAACACTAAGCTGAGAGGCAGGAGCGCTGAGGAGGAAGCACTTAACTACTGAGATTTGGGGGCCCACTGGTGACAGATCCAAAGTGTCACATGTAGTGCGCTAGCTTGCTAGTTTTCTCTGTACCTGTGATATACAAAAGTTTACCAGAGGCCTTTGCCATTGAATGTTCTCAGAAAATAAGAAAAATCTAAGTTTACAGGCTTTTATTCTATAACCTGACTACTCAGCTTTCAGCCAGGAAAGGAGGTAAAGGATTTCTCACAGTCATTGCCTCAGGCTTTGTCTCTAGGCTGCAGGCATTTCCTAGTGCCAGAGCATCCTCCACCAAGGAAAAGAGGAACTCCTATCAAAGGCAGCTTCAGGGCCTCTTCTCAGCCTTTCTCTGATTAAATTTGTGTTTCCCAGAAGCAACTGTTGACAGCTCTACTTTCACTTTCCAGTTTCAGTTTCTAACTTCTGACCACAAGGACAACAACCATGATGTCATTACTTGCTTATATAACCCCTTCTTGGAGTCTCCTTTACTTGAAAACCCCAAGACAGGCTAGCTGGACCTGTACAGACTGCCTGCTGGGTCACTGCAGAGTTGCTGGCTACTTCTCAGCCACCATGAGGTAAAGACTTTTTCCTGGCTGCCTGCATGTTCAAGGTTTGGGCAAAAGTGTTCCTCACTGCTCTCCGGAATGTTTCTTCTCTGTGTTGTCAGGCTTCCCCACTCTTCTATGTGAGCATTTGCTAAGGGAGTGAACGTGTGAGAATCCAAATGTGTTTGTGCACTCAGAGGCACTGTTGCATCTTGATTTTTGTTAGTCTAAACCCTGGAGAAACCTCTCTTATGCTTATAGTCCAAAGAAGAGGAGAGTATTAAGGAAATGGAAAACATGGTCCCAGTTTCAGAGATTCCTTTCCACCAGGCTCACTCTGTCCTCTCTAAGGAAAGGAGGGACAGCTTTTCTGGGAAGGGACATCACTTTTGCTATCTTCCTTGTGCAGGTAAGCAGGGCCCACGTAACTGTGTGAGCTTCACTTGGACCTCTCATGAGTCTTGGAGTCATTATGTGGCTGGGGGTGAGCTGGTGAAGTTCATGGCCTTCCTGTTGGTTTCCAGGTTCACAGATGTTGTTGTTGTTATAATTGCTGCTGCTGTTGCTGCTGCTGTTTGGGTTTCTGTGTTTGCTTGATTTGGTGACACCCTGGACTGAACCCAGGGTTTTCACCCTAAGCTACATCTCCAGCCCTTTTTTTTTCATCTTCTGTTTTCAGAAAGTGTCTTTCTAAGTAGCTAAATTGCCAAGACTGGGTTCAGTCTTGCAATCCTCCTGCCTCAACCTCCCAGAATATTGAGCTTATGGCATGCACAACTTTAGTTGACTGGTCTCACTGTCTAACTGCTGCATTCTGATGAAGGTGTGACAGGACTGAAAATTAGTATGATACCCCTTCCTTTGGCCTCCTACAAGTCCTTGGCATGCTCCTTCCCCCAGGTCCTGACTGCAGGTCTGTGTTTGGGAGCATTCAGGTTGTCCTCAGTTAAAAGGCTTAATATGGTCACTTCTGCAAAATTACAACTGAATAGTGCTCCTATAATCTCTTCTATCAGCACATAAAATAGTGAATTAATATTGTCTTGGAAATGACCACTCAGTGCTTTACTGGGAAAAATTTTGAAAGGTCCAAGTTCCAGGAAATGCTCAACTGCAGGGCTGTTGTAAATGTGATCTTTATATAACAAAAGCTCTTATAAAGTCGAGAAGATTGACAGTTGGCTATAAACTTTGCACTTAATTCTGTGCTTACTAAGGGCCAACTACTCACCTCCCCCCTCTGCCACCAGCAGCCTCCGCCTGCTGTCTGTGTCTCTGCTTTTGCCTACTGTGCTCATTTGAGGGAAATGAAAGCACTCAGTATGTGGCAGGAGTAAGATCCTGTCGTTTCATTGCCCCCTCCATTGTTTTTCTGAGGTGGCCTTTCCCTTACAAGAAGGTACTCCCCAGGACACAGCTTCTAGGTTTCACCTCTTCTCAGTTCCTCAGTGTGATTGATCCAGCTCCCCCATCTCCACACTGTGACTGCCTTCCCTTGGGGCAGCTAGATGCACTCAGGACTGTACACACTGCACTGGCCCCAGCCACGCATAGATAGGGCCCATGCACCACAGCGACCACCTCTCGCTCATGCCAGGACTGTGTGGACCACCATCCAGCTTGCTGTAGTCCACTAAGGAGAGCTCTGCAGAAATCCCATGTGGTGGGGCGGCCCCCAGGGTGTCTCTCTCCTGCTTGCTCCCAACTCTCAGTACCTGTGCTCCTTGAGCTCTCTCCCACACTGGCCCTGCAGGCATCTTGCGCTCTTCTCTCTAGGCTCTATGAGTAATCACAGCTTTTACACCTTCACACATAGCTGGAAGGGCCACCTCTGTATCTCCCTTATCAGACTTAATTCTTTCCTGTCTGGGTCTCTAGATGGTGGACACTGTGGTGTGCACAAACTGGATAAGGCAGATAAGAGCTAGGAGGAGTTAGTCCACGTAAACAGACTAGCTGTGAGAGGGATGGTGGGACACTTAAAGGTGAGGTTTATCACCAGGTTAAGGAACTGTCCCATGAAAGGCACACTCTAAACCCTGAAACCCCATGAAAGTGCTGCTCTTAAGAAAGAGACTGCAAAGCCAAATGAGGAAGAGGAGCCTGACAGCGTCTTTTTGTGCTGACTTCCTTCATTCAACATGACGTACTCAAGGTTCGTTACCATCGTGGCATTATCACATCTCATTCTTCATGGCTCAACCATATTCCACTTGGTGACTGTGCTCTATTTTGCTTGCCCATTCATTAATGCTCAGCATGGGAGTGGTTTCCTTAATAGTGGGCCAGTGAACACCTGAGGATTAATATCTGCATGAACACAGGCTTTCAATTAATTGGAGCATCTATTGCAGTATGGAACGTCCCCAGGATTATGTGCTCAGGTGGGTCTCATATGGTAACTCTGATTTTGATTTATTGAGAGACCACCCGCCTTCTTTCTACTACAGCTCTACCATTTTATGTTCCTACCAGCAATGTGTTTGCGTTCTAATTCTCTAACATCCTTAACAACTCTTGTTATTTTCCTCTTTTTGTTTTGTTTGTTTCTTTGCATTCAGTTCTGAGAATTGAATCTAGTAGCACTCTACCACTGAGCTATATCCCCACAAGTTTGTTTGATTGTTTGTTTGTTTTTAAGACAGGGTTTTCTAAGTTGCCAGCCTGAAGTCAAACTAGTGGCTCACCTGCCTCAGCCTTGTTCAGCTCAGGGTTTACACCTCTGCACTATTCCACCTGGCTTAGTCTCCACTTTGTCATTACTACTGTCATCTTTGTGGGTGAAAAGGATGTCTTGATTCCTACTTACTGTGTTTTTGTTTTGGCTTGCTTTTTGCGTGTGTGATTTTCAATGCTGCTTCATTTATTTCCTGTAGTGGGGTCTGAGCCCTGAATCTCTTAAACACTCTACCACTGGGATGGACACTGCTCCAGCCCATTTACTTTATTTAGAGAGCAGGTCACATGCTGGCTTCCAACTTTCAACTTTCTCACCTGAGCCCCTCCAGCAAGTAGAACTACAAGGGCATACTACCTCACCAAGCTGCACTATGGTTTTGGTCTGTACTTATCTAACAGCTATTGATGTTGAGCATTTTGTTGTATCTTTGCCGTTCTTATGACTGTTCGTTGGAAAACATGAACTCAAGTTCTTTGCCAATGTTTTAATTGTGTTGATGAGTTGTAGGACATTTCATGTATTCTGTACTTACATATCAGTCATATGCCAAAATAGTTTCTCTCATCCTGGGAGTTACATTATCACTGTTGGCAATGTCCTAGGAAGTACAAAAACCTCATTTTGATAAAGTCCAACTTATTTCTTTGTATTATCATTGCCTGACCAGCCAAATAACTCAGTGGATTAAAGTGCCTGCAAGCAGGTGCACAGGCCAGGGGTTCGATCTCCGTTCACTCCGTACCTGCCTCGAGGGGTATGCTGAGGTGGCAATTGACACTGGGTGTGGTGGCATATGCCTGAAATCCCAGCACTTGGGATGTTGCAAACAGGTGGATTCCCACCAGTCAGATTTAGTAGCAAAACCCTGAACACCCTGTATCTTTGGCTAAAATTAAAAAAAAGAAAAAAAAGAAAGAAAGAAAAAAGAAAAGAAGAAAAAAGGGAATATATTATCATTGCCTATTAATTTGGTATCACATCTCACATCTAAGAAAATATCACAAGGAGATGTTATGAACATTTTCCCCCACACTTTCTTCCACAGCTTCTATTGTTTTAGACCTTACATCTCCATTTCTGGTCCCTCTTGACTTAATCATTGTATATGGTATAAGCTAAGGAGCCAGGCTCTTTCTTTGCATCTGGCTCCCAGTTTTTTCACACCACTTGTTGAAATGGCCTTAAAAGTCATTTCAGGGTATTTATAGACTGAACTAGGTCATCTTTCAAAATCGTAGCTTACTACTGAAATTCTGAGTATGACATTATTTGTAGATAGCATAAAAGGTATCAGGATTCAGTGAAGATGGAAAGGTGGAACTTGACTTCCATAGAACTGACACAGAGGAGGAAGAGACACCAGAGTCATCTGCATTGATGAGCCAGGGAGGAAAGTCCACGTGAGGATGCTGGAGGAAGGTGTATATTGGCAGTCAAGGAAGCAGTTATAGGAACCTTATTCACTTGGACATTTGACCTGAACTTCTGGGCTCTACAGTTGTGAGGTAGGAAGTCCCTATTCTTTAGGTCAGCTAATATGTACCATGTTGTTCCAACAGCCCAAATGGATCAATGGAATCCTATATTCCAGGTTTACTCCTGGAAGCACTTCTGTGGATCTGTGTCTCGACTCTCTTCCATGGGCTGTGTGTCTCTGTCACTTCCAAATGATCTTTATGCAAGTGCAGTACAATTTTGATTACCAAAGTTCTGTTAAAATGGGAACTATGAGAAGTCCCAGTTTATTTTTTGTATTCCATATTGGTTTATAAATTTGAGATCCTTTACAATTCCATATAAATTTTAGGATGAAAGTTTCTATTTCTGCAAAAATATGTTGCTGGGATTTGATCACGGCTTACATTTTATCTGTCGTCCCTTATGGGTGGTACTGATTTTTTCATAATATTAAGTTTCTAACCTATGAACAAGGGATGGTTTTCCATTAATAGGAGTCTTCTTCCTTTCAGCAAAATCTTTAGCTTTCAGGATCTGTGCTTTGCCTACTTGATTAAGTTTATTCCTAGATAGTTATTCTTTTCTCAGATACTATTAATGAGTGTTTCCTTAAGTTTCCTTTTAGATCATTCATAATTTGTGCATCAAAATTAACTTACAACATTAGGCTTTGATCTTTTGAATTGGCTTATTTAATTTAACAGTTTCTGTGGAATATCCTTCACCTTTTGTGCTTATAACATATTACAAGTGTTTGATTTGAAAAAAACAAGTGAAAACAGCTGTCTTAGACTTATTCTTCATCTTGACCGAAAAACTTTGAATGTTCAACTACTGAGGATGACCATAGTGTAGATTTCTCAAATGTGCTTTTTATTGCTTTGAGCACATT